CCTGCCCTGAGACGCCGCCGTACCCTACACACCTCCTGCACCTCAACTCCCTGCCCAGAGCCCCCATCACCCCTCCTGCACCGCCTGGGGGCAGAGAGGGGGCAGAGTTGGGGTGAGGACTTCGGGGAAGGGGTTGGAATGGGGGGCAGGGAAGAGGTGGAGCAGGGGCGGGGCCTCATGGAAGGGGTGGAGTGGGGGCGGGGCCGGGGGCAGTGATGCAGCCCTTGGGCCAATGCACTAGTCCTCATGCGGCCCTCATGGTCATTTGAGTTTGAGACCCCTGGTTTAGAAGATAAAATAAAAAAAGAACAAGTTAAAAATCTCTTATAAAAGTTACAGAGGGTCCTGTGGCACCTTTAAGACTAACAGAAGTATTGGGAGCATAAGCTTTCGTGGGTAAGAACCTCAAGATGCCTGCAAGTCACCAGGGCCTGATGAAATGCATCCTAGAATACTCAAGGAGCTAACAGAGGAGGTATCTGAGCCGCTAGCTATTATCTTTGGAAAATCATGGGAGACAGGAGAGATTCCAGAAGACTGGAAAAGGGCAAACATAGTGCCCATCTATAAAAAGGGAAATAAAAACAACCCAGGAAACTACAGACCAGTTAGTTTAACTTCTGTGCCAGGGAAGATAATGGAGAAAGTAATTAAGGAAATCATCTGCAAACACTTGGAAGGTGGTAAGGTGATATGGAATAGCCAGCATGGATTTGTAAAGGACAAATCATGTCAAACCAATCTGATAGCTTTCTTTTATAGAATGACGAGTCTGGTGGATAAGGGAGAAGCGGTGGATGTGGTATACCTAGACTTTAGTAAGGCATTTGATACGGTCTCGCATGATATTCTTATCGATAAACTAGGCAAATATAACTTAGATGGGGGTACTATAAGGTGGGTGTATAACTGACTGGATAACCATACTCAGAGAGTTGTTATTAATGGTTCCCAATCCTGCTGGAAAGGCATAACGAGTGGGGTTCCGCAGGGGTCTGTTTTGGGACCGGCTCTGTTCAATATCTTCATCAACGACTTAGATATTGGCATAGAAAGTACGCTTATTAAGTTTGCAGATGATACCAAACTGGGAGGGATTGCAACTGCTTTGGAGGATAGGGTCAAAATTCAAAATGATCTGGAGAAATTGGAGAAATGGTCTGAGGTAAACAGGATGAAGTTTAATAAAGACAAATGCAAAGTACTTCACTTAGGAAGGAACAATCAGTTTCATACGTACAGAATGGGAAGAGACTGTCTAGGAAGGAGTATGGCAGAAAGGGGGTTATAGTGGACCACAAGCTAAATACGAGTCAACAGTGTGATGCTGTTGCAAAAAAAGCAAACATGATTCTGGGATGCATTAACAAGTGTGTTGTGAGCAAGACACGAGAAGTCATTCTTCCGCTCTACTCTGAGCTGGTTAGGCCTCAACTGGAGTATTGTGTCCACTTCTGGGCACCGCACTTCAAGAAAGATGTGGAGAAATTGGAGAGGGTCCAGAGAAGAGCGACAAGAACGATTAAAGGTCTAGAGAACATGACCTATGAAGGAAGGCTGAAAGAATTGGGTTTGTTTAGTTTGGAAAAGAGAAGACAGAGGAGATATGATAGCAGTCTTCAGGTATCTAAAAGGGTGTCATCAGGAGGTGGGAGAAACTTGTTCATCTTAGCCTCTAAGGATAGAACAAGAAGGAATGGGCTTAAACTGCAGCAAGGGAGGTTTAGGTTGGACATTAGGAAAAAGTTCCTAACTGTCAGGGTGGTTAAACACTGGAATAAATTGCCTAGGGAGGTTGTGGAATCTCCATCTCTGGAGATATTTAAGAATAGGTTAGATAAATGTCTATTAGGGATGGTCTAGACAGTATTTGGTCCTGCCATGAGGGCAGGGGACTGGACTCAATGACCTCTCGAGGTCCCTTCCAGTCCTAGAGTCTATGAATCTATGAAAATAGAGATGCTAGAAATATTGAAATAAAGCTTTAACTGTGGTGGCATATTGGTATCACTTAAAATTAATAGATATAACTTGGAGAATTTTTTCACTTCAAGGTCCCAGAAACAAAGACAAGGTTTTCATCTCGAGGCCAAAAGACCAAAAACATCAAGAAACTTGATCACGGCCTTGGATAGACCAAGAGACTACCTACACTTGACCAGAGCACACGTATAAAGAAAAAAAATAACCGCATAATTAGTGCAAACCCCAAGAGCTCTTCATAATTATGGTTTAATGCACACCTTAGGTATCATCCGTTCTTTTAACAGAAGACTTTCAAAGTCCTCACATTTTTTTTGTATTTCTTTCTTTACTGAACAAAACAACTATATAAAAATATATTCTTGTTTGTTAAGTTGCAATTTGTTTTTTATTCCCCACCTCAACTTTGGACACACCAGTTTTGGTTTCAGAGAAAATTAACTTCAGGTGGGGAATAAATCCAAAATGAAGAGATATCATATTTAACTTCTGAATTCTATTCTATAGTATTTGCATGAAAATAAAGCAGAATTTTATAAAAAAAAAATTAATGCGGCATCAGTTCCACTGTAATAAAAACAGCAGCATGTGTTTAAATAACCTGAAGGATAACCACATTAAAGCTTCTGAAATTATTTATCACAAATTTAAAGGAACACCAATTTAAAAATCACACTTGTGTGATTCTTTTTGCTTATTACAAGCATTTGAGATTACTGTAACTAAAAAAAGATTAGATCAAAAATCTTAGCCATTACCACTGATGTAAACCAATAGTTACTTTTTCCTTTTATTTGTTGGAGCCTTTTACACAGCAACAAGATGAAGAAAAAAATTGTTTTTCTTGTAAAACCACAAAAACCTGCAAACGGAGTCAGAAATAGATGTAGTACATGAAACTACTTTTCACCCTTTGTTAATTGACTAGATTTCCAGTTTACAGTGTTCCTTTGTCATGAAAACGTAGCAGGCAAGATTGAATGAATACTCCAAAGTATCACATGCTCTGTTTCAAAGATGGCAGGGCATTTATGCAACTATTAAGAGGGCAAGGGTAGCACTGAGTAAGCCTGTGTAAATCTCTTATTGACATCTAAACACAGCTTCTTTGCCAAACAGTATGTATATCTAACTTAAAATACAAAATAAGGATTTGGCACCACTGAGCTGAATGGTAGAAAATGACCGTGGAGGAAGACAGACGGCCTATATTTCTGCTCTGTCCATATAGAAAACTCCCCCCTCCCCAACTTTAGTGCATATTCTCCTGAGGAAAGACCTGTGCATGGTTGCAGGTGGCTCCCTGTAGACTACAACAATGGTGGCTGAAACAAGACTCAGGAACTCACCAGAATAGGATGTGTAGAGCATGCGGACACATGCAGCTGCTCTCCCAACCATACGCTAATTTCTAGAATGCTGCATATTTCACATTTCCAAAAATACCATGAAATAAAATGAACAAAAAAAAAAAAAAAAACAGACACTCTGCAGAAGCAGCTCCTGTCCTCCTTGGCTGGGTCTGCCTCCCCACTCTGGGCATTGACATGGCATACACGGTTGCAGCACCACTCACTCAAATATGGCCCTACCCCTGCTCTGTCATCATGACAGAGGGCCACCAAGACAAACCTGAGCAGTGCTGCAACCCAACATGCCAGGTTGCAACATCCTGAGAGGCAAGCCGGGCCCAGCCTCATGGGACAGGAGCTGCTGCTGCTGGGTGAGTACAGGGCAGGTTCAACTCTGCAATCCACCCCAGGCCTCCCAACCCCACCTGCGGGCAGCACGCAACTCCTGCTCCAGGGCAACTCCAGCAGGGGAAGGAGAATAGGGGAGGAGTTCCTGGGACCAGTGGGGAGGCTGAAGTGTTGAGACTCAATAGAGGAGGTTCAATAAAAGAGGGAGAATATATAAATGGGGATGGGGCATCCAGGGAGGAGTTCCTTGGTATATGGGGGGGGGCGGGGGTGGAGAGAGCTGGAGAAGAAAGCATTAGGGACTGGGAAGATCCATGGTGTCTCATGGGGTTTGTGTCATTGAGCGAGGATGGAGAAGTGGATGTTATCTGGGGGGGCATAGTACTGGGATTTACATATAGTCATTTCAGGTATTATATTAAATGTAAATATAGAAAAAAATTAATGGATAAAATTTTAATAGATAAAATGAAACAAGAAATTCCCCCCCAAAATAAAAAGTTACATAAAAATTCACAGGGCTTTACTGATTTCAAAGGGCCATATCCATTGCAGTAGCTATAGTGAGTCCAATGTCTGCAAGACAGTTACCTGAAGAGGTTTAGGTGATCTCTTTCCACCACACTTACACTGCATGCAGAAATTAAGAAATTATGTAATTTTAAGTTGTTTTTAAAGGACTTTTCTAGTGCTTTGCAGAAAGGTAAGGAGGTTGGAGATCATCTGTGCTGCTGATGGATTTTGGGGGTAAACAGAGCTGAGACTATGATACACAAGTCTGGTTCTGCCTCCAGAGAATTTAGGTCTCCCAAAGATGGAATTTCCTGCAATGTTATGTCTTTGCTCCACCAATGCAGATTTGGATACCAGTCTTGGTTAACAGTATCTGCTCCTTGGATTTTTTTTTTTTTTTTTTTTTTTGGGCCACTAGGTTTCCAGGCAATGCCAGATCCATCCTGGTTCATTCCATGGAGTAAACAATCCCTAACTATTCCACTAAGCTTTCAAGCACACCATCAAGAAAGTTTGAGCCAACTGCTCTTTTAAGGAGACAGATTAAAACCAGTTCAAATTAAACTATTCTTAGGGAGTTTCTCCTCCAAGACTTTAACAGCTTCTGATGTAATAATGTCTTTACCAGACCACCACATGGATTACATTTAAATCTTATTTCTTTTTACTGAGGTTCACCATAGAAAGATCATTTTCAATTTGATACATGGTGCAAATGTAAAAGAGCTTGGAGACACCGAACACCACTGAAACCACTCTTGGCAAAGTCTCTGACCTCTTCCTAGTTAAAGCTCAGCTCCACACGCATCCCCCTTCAACACACTCAATCCTGCTATTCTTCTTGAAATCTTGTCTTCATGACTGTCTTCTCCTGGTTCTCTTCCCTCTCTAATTGTTCCTTCAGTTTCCTTTGGAGGATCGTTCTCATCCATTCTTCAACTTTCTGTGGAGATTCCACAGGAATCTGTCCTTGGTATCTGTCTCTTTTTCCTCTACATCAGTGGTTCTCAACCCACGGCCCAGTCAACACATAGCTGCGGCCCATGCAACATTCTCAGGGACATACAGGTAGTGTGTGTATATATATATAGTGTGTATGCAGACCACAACACAGAGAGCTGCATGTGCAGCCCACAATGGTAAATAGATATGGTATAGAGCAGTGGTTCTCAACCTCTGGGCACTCTCATCTGCAAACCCAAATTCAACTACTTTAGGGTTACCATATTTCCACAATCAAAAAAGAGGACACGGGGGGAGCCCCGCCCTAGCCCCGCCCCTGCCCCATCCACTTCCTCCCACTTCCCACCCCCTGACTGCCCCCCTCAGAACCCCAACCCCCCCTGCTTCTTGTCCCCTGACTGCCCCCTGCTGAGAACCCCCCACCCTAAATGCCCCCCCTAGGACCCTACCTGTCCCGACTGCCCCGACCCTTATCCACTCGCATGGGTGGCAGGGTTGTAGAAATTTTGGTGGTGCCCAGAACCCACCCCCCCCCCACCTGCCTAAGGTTCTGGGAGGGGGGTTGGGTGGGAGGAGGAGGTCTGGGGTGCAGGTCCTGGGCTGGGGATTAGGGTGCAGGTTCTGGGATGGAGTTAGGGGGTGGGAGGCGGTGCAAAGGGAGGGGGTGCAGGCTTTGGGAGGGAGATTGAGGGCAGGAGGGGGTGTGTGGGAAGGAGTTTGGGGATGCAGGGGTGAGGGCTATGGGTCTGAGGATGAGGGGTTCATGATGCAGGAGGGGGCTCAGGGCTGGGGCAGAGGATTAGGGTGCGGGGGGATGAGGGCTGGGGCTGAGGGGTTTGGGGCGTTGGAGAGGCTCGGGGCTAGGTAGGGGCAGCCTGTCTTCCCATTAGTGGATGGGGGACGCTAGGACCCGGGAGCAGCAGACAGCAGTTGCCTCTGGCTCTGGCAGTACAAGCAGGCAAGGGAGAGGCAGGCGGTGGGGGTTCACGGGGGGGGGACGGACGCGCAGAGGGGGGCTGGCAGGTGGAGGCCGGAGACCCATCCAACACTCCCCCACTCTCTGACTGCCCCCCCTGGACTCCCCTTACCATTCTGGCTCCATGTGTTTGCAAAACACGCTGCCCGGTGGGTCGGTTTGTGTGTTACACAGGGCTGCAGACAGAGGGAGGGGGGAGCAGAGGAGGGCTCTGGCTGCTGGAGGCCAATGGGAGCAGCTCAATCGGCCAAGCCGCCCAATCAGCAGCCACACTCTGCATGGAAGGGAGGGAGGGAGGCAAGGGAGAAAAAAACCCCGGACATTTTAACCTTGTTACCAATTCCTCCCGGACGGCTATTTAGAGACACAAAAGCCGGACATGTCCGGGGAAATACGGACGGATGGTAACCCTAACTACTATCTCTATGCTGACAACTCTCAGATCTACCTCTCTACTCCACACTTGTCTTCTGTCCAAACTAAAATCTCTGCTTGTCTTTCTGACATCTCCTTGTGTTTGTCTGTCAGCTCAAGCTACAAGCTATCCGGTATAATGGTTCCAAGAAGCATGGTCACTGTTAGCAGAAAAGGAACTCCGAATGGCCAGATTCACAACTCCTTATATACATTTACACAAAATGTATGAATTGCAAAAGGGTAAATGTAATCCCAACTGTCATTTCTTTCTAGTTGATTCTGACTTCCACAGGCTGAGGGATGCACTAGTAGGGATCTGGAGAGGAAATCCTAATGGAGATATTTTAACCACTATTCACGATGCATTAAGAAAGTGCAGCTCTTTTCCCTTTTTTGTTCCCACATACTATCGTTAAGACTGATTATATCATGGAAGTCACGGAACCCATGACTTCCATTGACCTCCGTGACATTTTCTGCCCTGGGGCTGGAGCTCCCAGCCAGCCCCGCCCTCGCAGCTCCCAGCCGCAGCGGGCAGACAGACGGACTCCCGAACTCTGCCCAGGCACGGTGGGCAGCAAGGACTCCACACTGCTGCACCGCCGCAGCTGCGGACGGGGACCCTGCAGCTACCAGCTGCCCAGGGCAAGGGGACCCCGCAGCATCCCAGCCCCAGGGGCAGGGGAACCCTGGAACTCCCATGCACCACATCAGTGGGGGACCTGGGAGCCCCAGCAACAGTGGGTGCTGAACCCACCTACCCCTTTTGTCAGGGATATTTTTAGTGAAAGTCAGAGACAGGTCACAGGCTGCCGTGATTTTTTTATTTCCCGTGACCTGTCCCTGACTTTTACTAAAAATATCAGTGACAAAAACTTAGCCTTAACTATGGTGTGATGAGCTCTTTCAAAAGTTCTGAAAGAGTACATTATACAAAAGATCCATATGTGATCTCCTGTCAAAGTGTGTATTACCTCTAGTGATTGATTAAATTATTTGACTTTCAGCATAACTTATGACAGAAAATTCTGATATACTGAAAGAGAGGGCTAGTTTTAATATTCTATTAAAGTTGTAAGTATATCTGGCAATTTAACTGCGTACCTCCCACCCCTCCTCTAAAGTTCCCAACCCAACTGATTTGCAATAGATTTATTTTTTCAACTTCAACACTTAATTTCAAAACCTGTTTGAGTACAGCACATCTCAAAACTAACCAGATATCAGCAAATATTTGTGCTATATTAAACATAATATGGTGATATTAAACATATAATTGTAATTGACATGTTACACTAAGAGGTACAAGTGCCACCCTTAATAAAAACTTGTTTATTTCATTTCTGAGATTAAACTAGCCTCAAATTCAGTCAGAAAATATTATAATTTTAATGGAGCTCAATTTTCATAATTAATTTACTTAATTACACATCTGAATACATATACTTTAAATAGGCTTAAAATTACATAACTAAATCTCCAAGTGGCTTCAGATAGCAGTTCTTGATTTCACTTCTAGATACAATGTTAAGCAGTCAGCTAACAGCATAATGAACTGAGACTATTTAAAAGACTGCTCTGTTCACAAGGTTATTTAAAGTTTTGATTATATTGCCATTGATAAAAACCAAGGCGTGTGTTATACATTTTTCTCCAAAGGCACTATTTGTTCTCCCTTTATTATACAGAAGCAAGTTAAAAGGTTGGTTTAAAAAATATAAAAGCCCACTGCAAATAAAGCAAAATTTCTTAGTATGGATGTGTAGTTTTTTTTTCATTTTATGGATAAATACAGTCGAGTATCACAGGTACTTTAACTAGCAGAGAAAGAGTTTTACTTTACTATCACATTCTAACTGACCTGAAAGAAAACAATTTATTTAAACCCACAACCCTAAAAGCAAAATGGTTTTTCAAACTGCAGAACATCATATCGCTCAGGAAAGATCTTCTAGTGGAACAGCAGGAAGGGTGGCAAGTCAGAACTCAAGATAAATTGAGAGACCCAAGTCAAGAAGCATGGATATCATCTATCAGCATCACATGTGGCTCTATTAGTTCCTCCCACTCCCCAGCCCCCGTAAGAACATATTTCAGTCTAGATTTCTTATTTATAACTGTTTTGAGAGTTCAGAAGTGAAAAAAAGAAAATGTCTGTTTCCAGGTGACATCAGATATTCACAACACATGTGACTTAGTTCTCTCATTATCTTCAGAATCACCTTCACATCTGAAATCACTGTTTACATTTTTAATTTTAGTGAATTTGGTGAAGTTCTGTCTAGACAACTTGGCATTGACCCTTCCGGGGATAGTTTATGCTTAAATAAACTCCAAGTTAAGTCTAATGGTGTTGCTACGTAGTTACAATGCATTCTGCTGTAGTTCTTACATTGGCATTCTAATAAGTTTTGTCCTCGTGCATTTTAAGATCCTGAGGGTTTGCCTACACAGGAAAGTTGACTAGAACTTTTCTGTTCCACAATGGCTCCCCGTGTGGACACTCTTATTCTGAAGTAAGTGTGCCCTTTTCTGGTTTAACTTATTCTACCAGAAAAAGGGATTATTATTTCAGAATAAGAGTTCACATGGGGAGCTATTCCAAAATAGCTATTATGCTTTAAATTCACTCCCTACCTTAACTCGGAAAAAACTTCCCCATGTAGACAAACTAAATAATTGTGGTGTTGCTGAAGTAAATCCTATACATTACATATATGCTCCTAAGTAATTTTGCTGGCAACATGAAGCATATCAACATTCTGAAAAGGTTAAGGTATTAGCTTAGTACAGTGGTTCTCAACCCGTGGGCCGCTTGCAACCCATTCAGCAAACAGCTACAGCTCATGTGACATCTTCAGGGCAACACAGATAGTACATATATTGTGTGGTATATGGCCTACATAACACAACGAGCTGCATGTGCAGCCCACAATGGTAAATAGGTTGAGAACCACTAGTTTAATAGATGCTGACATGCTGGCATTTCTACGCCATCTTTCAGAGTCCTCCGAGCATTTTATTAACATCTTCTAATTAAGGACTTGTCTACATGTGAAAATTAATCTGGAATAAAGTAGGGTGTAAATTTAAAAATCGGTTAACTAGTCCTGATTAACTCCATGTGTGAACACTGGTATTCCAGAATAAGAGTTCTTTACTCAAAATTAGCTTAATGCACTAAGGCACTCTTATTCTGAAATAAGAGCATCCACATATGGAGTTAATTAGAAATCGTTAATCAGGAATAGCTATCCCGGAATAACCCCATGAAGACAAACCCTAAAAATCACACAACACACTTAAGTAGAAACAGGATATACAGAGATAAAACTTAATCCACTACTGAAATGCTACTGCATCAAGGGTCAAATAGAGCTGCAGTTTAACAGCTCACAGAAGCATACAACAGTAGTTTAGAACAGAGCGTGAAAAATATAATAGTTAATTACAATATCCTATTCAAAGTACAGGGGAATAGTTAGGCTGACCCAGGAGACTATGTTAATAATTTAATCTTACTCTGACAATTAGTGCCAAGGATTTTTCATGATGAGAACTGAAAAGGATATTTGT